TTAATATGTTTACTTTTAAATTAAATGATAATTTTATGCTAGATGTTTAATGTAATATTTATATTTCTTATACTGTATATTTACCTATTTTATATTGCATATATACTTATTACTTATTTTATTATACATTTTTCAAATAGATTTTTAATGTAATATTTCTATTTTTATATTGTATATTTACTAATTTTATATTTGTTTTATATTGTATATTTAATTTTTTTTTGACAATATAACAATAGATGTTTAATGTAATATTTTTATTTCTTATATTGTATGCTTACCTATTTTTATATTTTATATTTTCTTATTAATTATTTTATTATATATTATCCAGAAATATTTTTGAAGTGATATTTCTATCTTTTTTGTATATTTACTTTTTTTTTTCTTTTATTGTTTATTTTTCAGATAAATGTTCAATGTAATAGTTCTATTTTTAGATTGTATAAGGTTTATATTTATTATATTGTATATTTATTTATTTTTATGATAATATTATTATAGATGTTTGTTGTAATATTATATTTCTTATATTATATATTTACATATTTTTATTTTGCATATTTGCTTATCTTTTTATTCTACATTTCCGAGAGAGATATTTAATATAATATTTTTTTATATTTCTATTGTATATTAAATAATTATTTATTTTCCTTATATTGTTTATTATTTTTTTTTTATATTTTCGAAGAGAGGTTCTACAATGATGTGCATGCTTTTTAGAATCTCAATTAGTCTATTTTAATAGAAGTACCATCAACATCAATATATATAACTCAAGGAGAGAGAAAATTGTTTTATTAATGAAATCAAAGTGTTAGTGTGACCAACTAAATATAATATTACATGTAAATCCTCCGAGGAATAAATATGTGCTTATGAACTGCCATCATCTTCGCAAGAGTTGTTGATGTTAGGAGTTGCAAGAATGGCCTGTATAATACAAATTGGATGCTCTATTTCCTTCTGTTCATTTCTTATTCGTTCTTTAGTTTTCTACTACACACAATCCTCTTTTTTTTCTGAAGTTCTTTGGAGATCTTTTTTAAGAGGTGTGAGACTGATGTTGATGGAATAATGGATTTTATAGGGATTTGTTTGATGTAAAGCTATACATTTTTCTAATGTAGTATTTCTATTTTTTTAATTGTATATTACTTATTATTTATTTTAATATTTTAATATAAATGTTTAATGTAGTATTTCCATTTTAAATGTTGTATGTTTACATATTACTTTTTATAGTGAAAAAGGTAATCTTACATATGTTTTATGTAGTTTTCCATTTATGTTGTATGTTTACATATTGTTATTTTTTTAA